ACTGCCACTAGACAAGATGTCTGCAAGCTGAGGCTGTTGCAAATATGCAGCTTTATGGTTTTTTGTTTTGCTTTTTTTTTTTTTTTTGTCTTGTAAAATGAGTGCTGCGTTCTAACTCCAGCTTGGAATAGTTTGATTAGACCTATAGGTCATTTTCCATGGGTTATAACCATTCCTTAAATCTCTGATGTGTAAGCCAGCAGAAAATGTTGCTAGTGACTGTGACTGAGTAGTTTTGGAACACACCGCTTCAGTATGCAAGAGACGTAGGGCTCTTAAGTAGCGTTTTTGTGTGCTTCTGCAAGAAGTTAGTCACATCTGAGTCGCACAGACTAAGCGTGGTCTCTTATTGCAGGCACAAATGGTGCAGGAGGACCTAGAAAAGACCAAAGAGGAGCTGAAGACTGCCATGAGCACTCCTCATGTCACTGAGCCAATGCACTCTGAGAACGAGCATGATGATGAGCAGGATGAAAATGCAGCAGAAGCCAGTGCTGAGCTTCGATCAGAGGCCACCATCAAGGACCGCAGCGAGGAGCAGCGTACCACTGAAGCAGAGAAAAACGAACGAGTGCAGAAACACTTGAAGGTAAAAAGTTTGCAGCCGAGTGTATGTGCATGGGCATTGCTTCTATTCATTTTGTCACTGTGACTGTGAGCTTTTACAGGAATTCCTTAAAACGGAAGGAATAAAAGAAGGGAGTAGTGAATAGTGAGTGAAGGAAAAGGTGATCATGACTTGATTGGATTGCTGCTTACCATTAGGGAAAAGGGGCAGAACTTGTCTCTAGTTCATTTCTATTTCATTGGAAACAGCGAAGTCTTTTCAAGCAATGCCAAGAGGCAGCATCTGTGAGATAGAGTATGCTTGTGTGAGTCTTGCCAGCTACCTGACAGCTGTTCAGAGTCCAGCTGAAATGAATTGGAAGGCTTGGTTGAATTCTTATTCTGCAACAGGCTGTAACTGTCCTATCTGAACGGATTGCACTGCGAAATGCTGGTAGTAGCTGCTACAGCTCAGCGTGTGCGGGGGAAGAGGGGGTAGAAATGTTTTACCTCCTTCTCATAAGGAATTCCACTCTTCAGGTATTGATGCTTAGAAAGTGGTAGTAGCTTGTTTTCTGTAGATTTTTTTTTTTTTTTAAATGTCTTCTGGCTGCATGGCTTGGAACAGACTTGGCTTGTTTTGCATCATGCTGTGTTGGTCATGCATAGGTAGAGTGACAGAGGTGTCCTCTGTCATGCACAACGCATTTCTTCTGTGGTAGAAGGCTAGTAGTTGCTTGATTTCTGCAAGGCAATCTTGAAGTCTTTAGGTATTTCTCCACTGGACTTTCTCCTTCCTCTGAAATAAATTAGTGACAGTCTTTCTTACTGTGCTGGACAAAGATAAGTAAGGTGGAAGCACCTGCAGTTTACTATTTTCAAATATAGAGAAAAAATATTTGCAACTTCCACACAATTGCTTAGGTTGGAAAGGATCTCTTGAGATCATCTAGTCTCACTATTCTGCTCAAGAAGGTTCAGCTGGAGAAGGTTGCCCAAGACAGTATGCAGTTGAGCTTATCTGTTTCCTGTGTAGGAGGATTAACAAGGAACTTCCTTGCCTGGCACTGAGGTTCTGGCTTGGCTAACCCACTGCTGTCTTTGTCCCCTTCACTAGGCTCTTTCCTCAGAGTTGGCAAACGCTCGGGATGAAACCAAGAAGACGGCCAATGATATGATCCACGCTGAGAACATGCGGCTGGGCCGAGACAAGTACAAGACCCTCCGTCAGATTCGGCAGGGCAACACCAAGCAGCGCATTGATGAGTTTGAGTCCATGTAAACTCTCCCCTGCGCTTGCCGCTCTGCAGTCCCTTCTCCCTTCTTTCTCATCCTCTCCCATCACTCACTCATAATCGTGCTGTGCTGGAACCACTACAGAAGAGCGACCATGGTCTTATTTATAGAGTTTTTGGTAAATGCTGGAGTTCAGCAACAGAAGAAAGAACGACACTTGCATATTCTTGGGGTAGCTTGGGAACGCTAACTTGTATTAGGGCAAATCTGAAATTCTATGACTTTGGGTAAAGTCGTACTGCATTTAGTTAGTTTTGCTTACTGAAATGGCTGTGTAACTGTTCTCTCTCATTGAGTAGGGAGGCCAGTAGATACTTTCTCTGAACTATATAAAGTGCTAACAGTTTGACATTGTGCCTTCCTACTAACTTGCACAAGCTTCAGTATTAAGCTCTGAGGCCAGGATCTAAATTTCTAATGTCATTAAGGGTCTGAATCATGTAGTTGAGATGGAGAACCTGGAGTCTGGGAAGAAGGGTTGGAGGTAGAATGTGGACTTAGTTTCTAAAAGACCAAAGCTTTTGTCCTTTAAATGTAAGCAGACCAAACAGAATCTGTGGCATTCCTGCTGGTGTTACCTTTATTGTTTAAAGATGAAACATGAAATTTCCTAATCACAAGGAGGCCTTTGAAATATTTTCACTGATGTGGGATGTATTGGATGCCTTGACTTCCAGGCTTTCTGGAATAAGTTTTCCTCTGGGTAAATGGCTTAAATGGCTTTGTTTGCTGTTATTTTGTCTGACTTGAATGTAACTAGTGAGGCAGAGATAGCTAAAGAACACTGCCTTTCATCTTGAGGTCACCACTGAAAATGGAAAGGCGTAAGCAGAAATTCAAACAACTGAAAACTCCTGTGACTATATTTCTTTTGCTGAAGCAGTACATTTCTAGTCAGATGGGGTGACTTCAGTTTTTTTCCATGAGGCCTTTTTAGCATGTAGTCATTGGTGCCTTATGACTGTATGGATCTACTGTAGCTCAGATGTCTTTAAAATAGATACACTCATAAAAAGTGAAGAACAGCCGAGGACCAAAACTGTTTTGTATCTGGGTCATGTAGAAACAAAGCCGTAGCTGTGTCTTCCTGGCTTCCAGCAGCATTTCAAGGGAGAGGGTCATGAGATTTGTCCAATTGTTGCCTTAATCTTCACTAGCATTTTGCCAGATTCCTGGCTCGAGTGTGTGTGTGTTTTTTTTTTTTTTCCTCCAGAAGGATGCTTTGCCTTCTTGTAGTTTCTAGTTCAGAGGGTTCTGTCTCTTAAGAGGAGGACAGTGGTGGCTGTCGGGAGACTCGTCCTGTGTTAATTGTTGTAATCACTTTCTATCCATTTCTACCAGGCTACCCAGGGTCCTCCTTGTCATTTCTAAGGAGGGAACAGCCATGTATGCTCAGGATTGAATTGGATTTAGCCTTGATCCTTTATAGAAGGAAATGTGGACCCCTAGAAGAGGCCTCTTAATGATGGATTTCCTCTACAATGGTGTCTTCATTTGCTTTGCCCTTCTTAGTACAGCTTGTTCCTATAGAAAGTAATGGGGCTAGCCTATGATTTATTTTCTTGCCTAATGTGATTCTAAATTAATGTGATTCTAAATCTTTCTCAGTTTTGTGGATGCCCTCTTTATCTGTATGGCATCACTGCTCATGATGATTCACATCTGAATGCTGAAGTGTTTTCAGCTCCTGTTATTATAAGCAAAGGAGGAGTGTGCCAAAAAAGAAATGTCCACATCAGTGTTAACGAACTGCAGTATTTCCTCAACAACTCCTTGGGCTGCTAGAAACAACCTCACCAGTGTTGTATTTTTTTGGAAGCAATACATGTCTGTGAGTAATCCATGGAAACACCAATCAACCGAACTATGGTTAGAAGTTTAGTGTGCTACTTCTGAACATCCTGATTAGTGGTATGGGAGCCCCCTTTACCCTCCTGGACAGAACATGGGAATGCAGGAAGCTTTTGGCTGACCAAAAACATATGCTCCAGTACTTTGAAAGTCACAAATGGAAGATTGCAGTTAAATTTGTCAGAACGGATTTGCATATTTCTGTACTGAAGGGTTATTGGCACTGACTCTATGCGAGTCTCATTACTGGTGGAGCAGACAACCATTACACTTCTCTTCTGGTGCTTTAAAGCTGGTTCTCAGCACTTCTGCTCTGTCCACAGCAACTATTGGTGCATTTGCAGGGAAATAAAGCCCTTATTACATTAAAACAGTTTCCTAACAATCTGATATATAGTGCCTGAAATATGTGTTCAAATAATAAAACAGTGAACCTTTCTGCTCACACAACATTGCTGAACTCGTGTTACGATGCTGGCATATCTTGTTTATAAGGTTTGGTTTTTTTTTTTTCTTAAATCATTCTAGCTCCAGTTGGTCCAATATAGAATAGAACAGCCTGTGCCAGTGACCTGACCTTACTCTTTGTAGTTGTTTCAGCTATGCCTTCTTCTTAAGCAGTATTATATTCCAGTGGTATCTAATGATATTTGATTTCAATACTTCTAGCTATGCACAATTAGAAAATATTAGTCGTGGGATGGAGGATGTGTTTATGGTCCCCTTCCCTTGGAAATATATACTGTATTATAAAGAAATGATATTTTGCAAGAAAACTAATGTAAGAAGCTTTCAGTATTACAGTGAGATTTGTAGGCATGTTTTTTAATTTTTATTTTTCAGATTTGTTTTTCTTCCTTTCCATGTCCCAGTTCAAATGGATGACTACTCCTCATGGGGGTGGAGGGAGGGAAGAAGAAATACCTTATCAAATGTTTGCCTGGCTTGATTTATCTCTCTCCTTTTTTTTTTTTTTTTTTCTTCTATTTTTTGTTGTTGTTGTCGCTGTAAATTATTATTTTTTTGACCAGCCTTTTTACTGGATTATAATAAAACACATTTTCTTAGGGTTATGGAGTAATTCATGGATCCATGTGGTTATTTGCAAATAGACCCTTGATATTAAGGCTTTTTTTTTTTTTCCTGTTTGGGAGGAGCTGTTAAAATCCATACCCTGTTCTTCCTACAGTGCCAATAAAGTTTAGAGAAATTCAGCAGATGGTGTCTGGATGATTGCTTAAAGTTTGCTTTCAGTCTAGCAGTGTGCTTCCTAGTTAGATGTCTGACACATGACCCATAGAAGGTCAGCCTGAGTGTAAGTTTTAATTTAATGGAGGGTAAATTTGTATCGCATTTAACTTCTGCAGCCAGAGGAGGAGGAAAAACTGTTTCAAGAATTTGCCAGCTGAACACCTGGTGTGTAGGGCTGTGCCCAGGCCCTGGAGGAATCTAGCAACAGGTGAGTTTGTAAGAAGGTCGCCAGCCTTGGCCTTGCTGCACGTCTCACCTGTGTTTGTCTGAGCCTGGCCCTTCATTGTTGATTTCAACCTCATTTGTTTCACAGCTACTTTGCTCTGGCTTCCTTTCTGTTTGTGTTTCCTAAGGATGCAAGACAGGGCCCAGTGATGGAGGAATATGGCCACTGCCATCTTTCTGCTGATGAACTGTTTGATCTTCATTTGTGTCTGCTTTTCATGTGGTTGTTAAGAGGGTCTTTGCATAGCCTCTATCTCCTGCTTGCTGCACTATGAAATAAGGCAAGAGATCTAAAAAAAACCTGCCGGTACTCAGATTTGCTACTGTAGGAGAAACTTGGAGCAATGGAAACTTCTGAAATCTGTATTGGCTTTGGCATGGATACAGTTTTTGTAGGATGGTCTTCCTCATTCCCTCCAGGATTCAAATAAACCCAAACAAGACCAGATGAACTGTAATGTCCACTTGAACACTGCTGTAGTGTGCATTCTTCAAGAGAAAGCATGCTGATCTGTAAATGCAGCTCTCACAAATGGGTTTCTATCATTTACTGCACTTGCTTCTAGGTGGGCAATACTTTCTCACTTATGCTTATGTTTCTGGAGGATCTGGAAACTCCAAAATAGTGTGAAGCTGCATCAGGGTTAGATACTAGGAAAAGGGTTCTTCACCTGAGGGTATTCAGGCATGGAACAGGCTCTCCAGGGCAGAGTTCATGGGCCCCAAGCTGCCAGAGCTCAAGGTGCATTTAGACACTGCTCTCAGATGCGGGATTGGAATTTTGGGTGGAGCGAGGGCTTAGACTCAGCGATCCCGGTGGGTCACTTCAAAGATGTTCTGTGATTCTGTGATCATCCTAGTCTATCTTTAGACAGGTTGAGATACTAAACTGAATTTATTCCATGTTTCATGTCAGCTGACCTGGGAAGTTTCAGACTTCATGAATCTTGCTGTAGTGGCTCTTCATTGAGAAGGCGCATCTATGAGCTGTGTTCCAACTTCTTGCAAAGCACAATAATGAAGTGTGTTAAGCATAGACAGTTGTGTGGCAACTGCTTGAAAATCATGAAGACAGGATATCTCCTACTGAGGAAGCACAGAATAACAGGTACAACTAGTTTTCTCCGTGCCATTCAGTGTGACTGTTCTGTTGAGTGCTCCTCAGCTATGTATAACTCAGTCCTGAGCATGCAGTGTAATTAACTTCCACCTATAATCGGAACGTGGCAACTGGCAGAGAACAGTGTAATTCATCTATGACTGATGTCAACACAGAACTGCTGCATAGTCATATGCAAGTTGAATCCATGTGTGATGTCAGACATTTCCTTGCAGGAAAATCAGCTCATCTCTAAGAAAAGGCTCTGGGCTGTAGTGCATATTCAGAGTTAGGCTAAGGCTAGCTTTTGTCTTGCAGGTCTGCAGCTTGGGGACGATGATGCAGGTCACTGCTACAAAGTAATGCTTGGATGCACACCTGGTTCAGTGTGATAGCTCCCTCAAAGCTACTAGTAATTTTAGGATTGATATTCTCAAATTGCACAATGAAGCTGTTACAGAGAACAGAACAACAAGGAGAAAGGAAAGAATAAGGTGAGTCTGAATAAAGGAGTTTTGGGAGTTCTTTCCAGGATCATCTTTTAAGAAGGCATTTCCTCTGTGTAAGTGTTAATATCGCTCTTAGAGCTTTCTAGTGAGCAGAGCTAGTTGGAAAATTACAAATCCCTGTCACTGTTACTGCCTCTGATTGTGCTCTTTTCAAGAAATGCAAGCCAGGGTTGCTCTCCAATCAAGAGGGAGGGTCAAGGGAATGTGGAATATCTTGCTCTTGACTTGGAAGGTTATAGAGAAGCTCGTCTGTACTCCACATGCAGACATAGTCCCTTCCCATTCATCTCTGAAGCATCCTTGACTGACTAAAGGAGAAGCTGCAAATAAAGGCCTTGCCCGGGTACTGTAACTTGTAGTGGCCTTCACCCAGCCAAGCAGCAGCTGCATTGCCAGAGGTGGCTGTTGTCAAGGAGCTCTGTTAAATTCATTTTGCTTCCCTGATGCAGCATTAGCTCATCTTTGGTGATAGCACTGCACTCTTGCTTCCAGTGGTGAGAATTTGTCCCTTGATTCATTTGTTTTCAGCAATTCTAAAGTTGCTAAACCTTAGAGAAAGGCCAGAGCAAGAAAATGGTAGTCTTGTTTGACAGATATATAGAGAGGCATATTTAAAGCCTTCCCCTGAACCCTTTGGCCCCTACTGGTCAGTGCTTTCAGAGACTTGAGCTCACTTGGTGTAAGCGCTTTGTAGGTTTGAGTTCAGAACATCAGTTTTGGGGCAGCCCTCTTTACCCAGTCCTGTGGGCTTGGAGAAAGCAGAACAAGCACAATTTGTCCTGTTTGCTTATAGAGCACAACACAGAGGGTGATGTATTTCTTCCAAGGTAGAACAGAGCTGTGGCTGAGCCTGGCGATTTCATGGAAATCAGTTCAGACTTTTTGCACTACCTTCGTGTGGCCAGACCACCTGCCCTACTCGCAAACCTCTAAACAATAATGGAGCCAATTCTGTACTGGGACAGAATGCCGGTCTTCAACTTTGTTATGACTCATTGAGCTGTTTGCTCTGTTCCTTTCTTCTGTCTGGACTACTTTACTTTGCGAGTTCCACTGTTAAGAACCTGAATTTTATCAAGTATCAGTTTTTCACTGGAGAAAGCAGGTGACAATATGCTGACCTGGTTGGCATCTGTATACCTTGCAGCTCACACATGGGTAGGGACTGGGACAGTTTCTTCTGTGTATATAATTTCTATCCCTTCCCCTTTCTGTCCTTGCAGAAGCTCAGCTGCAGGAAAGGTTGCCTCTGCTGATTCTTCCTCCCACTCCCTCTGAGGATGGACTTATTCCTCCCTTAATTTATCAGATATTCATTCAATGGTAGTGATGTTGCTCTCACAAACCCAGAACTGCATACCTATGTACATTAATAACTACAAGATCAGATCATGACTGTCCAACTGCAGTCTCTTGGAAGCTACAAAGTTAACAGAAGAATTCTTCAGGTTTGCACAGTGCGTCTACCCAAAGGAACAAGTGTAAGTCTGCCTGGTGCTGACCATGTCTGTGTATTTGGAAGCCCTGAAACCAACTATGGTTGGAGGAGATGGAGATAGAATCCAGGAAGCCTGAGCATGCTTCTGGCTCTGGAGGGCTGCAACACTATTGCATGAAGTCTTGTTGGACCAATGCTGTGCTGATATCAATCTGTTTTCTACTTATGCAACAGTTAGGGGTGGGGGGGATAATTGCGTCTCACAGATATTTGGGAAATTTTTTGTGAGGGTCCCTGGTCTGGGAGGAAAGAAAATTGTCCTTTGGTGCAGAGGAAACTGGGTAATGTATTTCAGGCTAGAAAATCTCTTCATTCCTAGTGTGTGCTAAGGTGTTACTAGACGTGTCAGCACAGCCACTGCACTGATGGCAGCCTGACCTGCTAGTGAGCAAGAAGAGGCATGTGCATGTGTGTTTGCTGGTGGAAACTTGACTTTCACCAAATTTCTATGAAACAGAGTTAAGGATTCACTTCAGCTGTGCCTGTCATTCCCGTTGTGTGCTGACTTTCAAAGCAACATTTTCAAGGGCTTTTTTTTTTTTTTTTTAAGTGGGGATTTTTAAATCTCCTCTATCTTTCTTTTCTCTTTCCGTGGGATGGGTAGTTATTTAACAGCTTTCTGTTTGTATCCTGGACTAAATGAAAGAAGTTTTGCTCCGGAAATTCTGGATTTACTCTTAGGCGTGCCGCTAGATAGAATTGGAAGGAAGAATTAAGGGAATAAAAGAACAAAAAAAACCCACCCAAAATAACAATAACAACAACAACAAAAAACACCAAAAAAAAAAAAAAAAACCCTGACACCAGCAGACTTTTTTCGTCGCTGTTACAAAGACCTTAGCACAGGATATCTGAGCCCAGCTTAGGACGTGGTTCCATTCCACCCTATCATGGCTACTTCTGTTTTCACAAGAAAACTGCTGCTTGCCTCCCTGCAGGATTGGGTGTGATGATCTCAGGCCTGACTTCCCTCTCAGTGCTCTCCTCTCTTCCATCTGGTGGCATTGACCTGTCACTTGCTGTGCTCTGAGTTCCTGGCAAGGAGAGAGGTCAGTGTCAGGCAAACACACGAATGTCCTTGCTGTGAAAACTGCTGCACATACATCTAGTTTATCTCTTGTTTCAAGGTTTGCTGGAGATAAGATGCTTTGTGGTTTGTTTGTTTGGATCACTGGTTTGCCTGCTGCACCTCTTGATGGTGCCTGAGAAGTGAAGGCAGGATTGGGCACAGGATGTGAGTGCATGGAGCGAGGAACATTTTCCAGCTAATTCTCATTCTTATACTTCAGATTTTTTTCTCCTGTATGGAGTGATTAAAAAGTCAAATTTCAAAAGTTGTTGCCTATGCCAGCTAGTATTATATTATTTCATTAAAAAACTTGATTAAATCAAGCATCCTAATGAATGGTGAACTGTTAATTGGAGGGACAATTCAGGATCCTGAGATGAGAGCTGTTCTCACACTCCGCAAAAAAAAAAACCAACCAAACAAACAAAAGAAACCCAACCAAAACTGAAACTGTCCACTGCGGAGTTTTGTTTCTCAGGCAAAGTGATTTACCCTGGAGCAGAGCAACACTATACTGATGTCACTGTTTCAGGAAACAAACTGGAAGTTTCCTCTCTGGAAGCTTCACAAGCATGAAATATCAGTTACTGTGAAATGCGATACCTATCTGTGCCTCTGTGGCACTTTTCAACGGAGAATTTAACAACTGAAAGAACCGTGGCTGCTTTTTGTGACTGTCCTAGGAAGTGTATGAATGAATATTTGCATTCTGCAGCTGGGAGCCTGCAGTACTGGGGAACGATGTAGCCAGATGTTGTCCATGTCAGGAGGATGTCTGAGTAAGTCTGCCTTTCACCCTGTTTGTGTAAGAACTGATTGGGCCCCCACGTGTCTTCACAAGGCACCATCATTCAGGCCTTCAGTGTTTCCATTACTCTACTTTTCCAATAGTCAGTTTGTTACCATCTCCCTGTCCCCTAATATAGTTAGACACTGCACTGAACACTGCTCCTAAAATTTGGATTTAGGGCTAGTTCCTGTAAGGGAAGTCTGGAAGGCAAAACAAGAGGAATCTTCCTCGGGGACTGATGTGAGGAAATGATGCTTGTTACAGTACTTTGCTCAGTACCCCTGAGTGCCCTGTTACAACCAGAAGTGGGCTGGAGAGCAGCAAGATTCATGCACAACTCCTCCCGCTCCTCCTCCCTCCCCAGAGAGGCTGTCCTTACTTTTTTCTATTCCCCCCTCCTCCCCCCCACCATATTTATAACTCTTACTCTAGCTTGCCTTGCAACAGAAGACATCCCAGGAAATCCCAAAGAAAGACCTCAGTAGCATGATAGCTCAAGGCATCTCGGGGCTCATGCGACCCTTGTTAAGTGGACTGAAAGTGAGTAAAACTCACTTTGTTTATTTCTGTGAGGTGACTGGGCAGAATTGCTTACGATCAAAGCAGACGTCAAGAAGAGGCTTCAGCTCCACATGCAAGCTCCAGTGTTCTCCTGGGGAATCGAGGTGAGTAAAATCCTTACCTTACCCGTATATCGCTGAACTAAGAAGTACCTTTTCAGAAGGGAAATGCATTGAACTCTACCTTGGCCCCCACAGAAGGAAACTGGTGCAAAGCATGATCTGTAAGGGAGAGGTGGATAAGGCTACGTAGATGTTGATCTGGGATGAAGATTGTTTAGGGAACTGATCTGTGAGAGGTATTGCTGCCCTGTTTCTGGAAGCTTCTGAAGCCATGGAGGCCACAGCTATTGCCTGGATTCTGAACATGAGTATATCATATGGCACATGAATTCATGCACTATCGAGGTCCCGTTAGGGACCATGAGGCCTTTGAGGAATGGGGATGGTAGGCAGGTCAGATCAGGTACCTGGGCATCCTGCTGTGCAGAGGTGAGATGATCACTGAGGTGCTCTGTGAATTGCAGATTCTTTCGCGTTTCTTATCTCTGCTGCTGTAAATGCAGAGTGGGGAACTGATGTTGTCTGCCACTCTAGGAAGCAAAATACTCTCTCTAGACAATTGGAATCCTCACTGCCATGCCTTCCTGGAATGTTCTTCCTGACAAGATATGGGGAATGTAGATCAAATGCTCATCTGCTGAGATGGTGGCTGTAGGTGGCAGGGGCTGTACAAGACCACATCATCTATGTCCTGCGAGGCTTCCAAGTGCAGCGTCACATGCTGGGTTTTGCTGAGGCCGCTTACTTAGGTTAGGATATGCAGTTCATCATAGCGGTTGAGTTTGTGTGTTGAACTGTGCTGTGAATGTTGGTCAGAAGTTGCCCTGATCTGGAGGAGATGGAATGAATGCTGTTTCTCTCTTGTTTGTAGATGCTGTTTCCCCAACTCAGCATTAAGTGATGCTGATGGCCTTGTCCTTAATACTACTAGATTAAATCCTGTAGGCCATCAACACAACCAGTTATTTCTCCTAAGTAAGGATTGCATCAGCGCAGAGGACGTTATTCAGCATGATTGTTCTGTAAGCTGGGCTGAGCATGTCTTATCACAAGAAAGCCCACTGTGATGGAGCTCACACAAGAAGTGAGCACTTTGTGAAGGAATAACAAGCAGAAAAGGAATGGTCAGCAAGCAATTCCCTTGGGAAGGGAGGGAGAAATGATGAGTGAATGACAACATCCTTTATCACTTACTATTATTAAATCCTGTGGGCTTCTCTTGTTATTACTGCATTTGGGATTAACATCCCAGGCTCCACAACATACTAATGCCTACAAACACACCAGCCCAAGCAGAAGCAGTGCAGAGCCTCTGCATTTATTCACTCACAGCTGAACATTTATTTTGAGAGAAGTGTGGTAATATAGGAACTACTGTGGGTCAGCTCAGATTTGAACTGCTCTAATTTGTGCATTTCCACTGAGAACTGGCAACCTGAATGTCTTCTAATGTGTGTAGTGTAATCTCTCAGGTATTCAGCCAAAAGGCTTTGGCAGCGGATGTGCAGGAGAAGATGGGATCCTCTGATTTTTTTTGCTAACTTTTCCTACAGCTCGGCAGATTCAGTGACAGTGCATTTTATAAATCGGGATGGAGAGCGACTCACAACCACGGCCAAAGAAGGGGAGAGTCTGCTGGAGGTGGTAGTCAACCAAAACTTGGCCATTGATGGATTTGGTAGGTGTTGGAGATGGATATGTACTCTAAGGAGTTCTGTGTCCAGTGGGTACTTGGGAATAGTACAACTGCACAAACAGTACTGTGTTCTGATGAGACCAAGAAGCACAGGGAGGATGCATACATTTCTCTCACTAATTTCATCATTAGCACTTAGCTATGCAGTCTGCTTTCCTTGAATTGCTTAAACTTGGGGTCTCAATTTGCATCTGCTTTCTGGCGAGGTTCTTGTCCCAGCAGCTGCTCACTGGGCTGTCTTTCCACACTTACCGCCCTGCTGCCTCTGGAATTCCAGTGGCACATTGGTTGGAGTTGAAGTATGAGTATGAAAACCTTGATCCTCCCAGAGCAGAGGCAGGCTGAAGTCTATCTTCATCTGCTGTGTCTTCTGGTGTCTCTTTTGACATGCTCTAGGTCTGCTAAAGGACCTTTCCTCCCACTATTTCCAAAGATCATCTCTCTTTACCCCAGTGTTTTTGCTGATTTGCTGCCACTTCCTCACTTTTCCACCAGGTGCATGTGAAGGGACATTAGCTTGCTCCACCTGCCACCTCATCTTTGAGAAAGATGCCTTTCAAAAGCTGGATGCCATCTCAGATGAAGAGATGGACATGTTGGACTTGGCATATGGACTCACAGAGACGTAAGTATACCTGCTGGCAGCAATAGATGCTCAAAACCCTGCTGAGACAGATTCTCAGCACCTGTTTGGCACCCATTTCCAAAGGAACAGGTTGTTCTATATTGCAACTGTGCCTCTAGAGCTGTTTTCTGTTGGGTCTTTTGCTTCTGTGAAAAGTAATCTTGGACCAAATATTCCAATGTGAGTTGGGAATTTCTTGCTTTACTGTGGAAACAAATGAACTTCACTTAATATTTTCTTCTCAGATCTCGCCTTGGATGCCAGGTGCGCATTAAGAAGTTGATGGATGGTCTGACAGTGCAGGTCCCCGTGGAAGTATCAGATATTAGGAGTCAGCTGGAGGTTGGAAAGCAAAGCAAGCAGTAACCCGAAACAGTTCCTTCACAACCTGCCTCCTTAGGTGTGGAGGGACACTTTGCTTTATGTTAACACCAGTACTCTGCAGCTGGTTTACGGTAGACAATAGAAGTCTGGTTTAGTATATATAACTGTTCAGCAAATCTCTTATTTAAACAAGGCTTAATGCTAGGATTTTCAACATAAGTTTTAAATAAGTGCTTAAGTGCTCTCATGAGCACAACTGGATGAAAACATGTGGCTTTACAATTCCCTGGTAGCAGTAAACATTTGTACTGTGTATAACTCATCTCCTTTTAAATTTAAGTATTCCACTATTCTATGTAGCTACTGGGAATTCTGTGATGTTCTGTTACTTAACTGCAGAGCAGATTTTTCCCAATTTGGGAAGCTTGAGAAGAGATAGCTGTTCCAAAAGCAAGACTGTGCTACTTGGCTTGATGACATCGACAATCTTAGTCTGCTTAGCAGGAGCATTTGAATGCATGTCACTGAATTGTTATGTGCCATGATATGCTAATTTCTCTAAATAACACATTTTCTCATTAATGTATTGCAGCGTACATAAAATAAAATCCTAATAATCAGGCTTTTAGGTCTGTAAATATGCTTTTCTTGTAACATCAGTCTGGTTGCAGTAGAACTAGTGTAGGGGGAATTTAGATGTAGTAACCTACTGTCCCAGTTACCAGTGTTTTCCCCTTGTTTTAGGTGGCAAGGTTGACATGTTTGCTCAGAATGGTGTAGAGAATCCATGACATGTAATCAAATGTAGCGGAAATGCTAAGTCAGAACCTGATGGAGCACCTGGTGGGAAAGCAGGGCCAGTTCAGGAGAGCTCAAATGCAAGCAATGCAGCTGATGATGGAAGGGATGGAGCCAGAATCCACCCCTTCCCATTTAAGGGCTGGCAGTGGAGGTGAGAGGGTATCTTGCTAGAGATCCCTGCCTACCTGAGGCCTTCCAAATGTAAATGAGTTTTCTTCCTTTGTTTCTGCATCCACAGCTGCTGGTTTTGGGTTTGTCCTCATTTGCTGCAGCTGAAGATATTGCCACTCTGCTCTTATTGCTGTACTTCCCATCACTTCATAGTGTTACAATTAGATAGGTGAAAAATGAATTTTGTAGAGAGGGGTAATATCTCTCATTAGACCTAATACTGTACTGGGGAGGACAGGCACTTTTGGCTATACAAATCCTCCTCTAGATCTGAAAGAACTGCAAAAGCCAAGCTTAAGCATCCTGGTGCAGTGGAAAGCATCCTTTAAAGGTGTTAAAATACATAAAATGATTTAAATACATAAAATGATTTTGTCTCATGACTCTGCCTCCTTCCGGAGATTTCCTGCATTATCCTCCAGGTTTGTGCTGGATTTGCAAACCAGGATCGACCTGGAGCAGTTCAGAAAAACGAGAGCATAGTCTTTACCCATCCCACAGCTCTTTAGCCTATTGTTAAATACAAATGCTACGCGGTGCGTCTGACCGTCAGACCTCGTCTGAACGCCAGGGGCTGAGACGGTAACGGCTGATGCTTCGCTCAGACACCAGGTGGAGCTCGTTGTACATCGGCGATTCACGAAACCCAGGGCAGGTAGGAAGAGGATGAGACTTGGACCTGAGTTTTACTGACATCATCCTATTTCTGTTCTTTACTTGGTCTCTTACACTCTGACTGGTAACTGGCTCTATCTGAGACATCTCGCAGCAGTTATCCGTGGCTGATAATTCCTCCATGCTTCTCTTTCAGACGGGAGTAATTCTGCCATGAGCTCTGCTCGTATCACTGTGGTTGAGGGTCAGTGTGTTGCAGTCACTGCAGTTAGGCAGTGACACCCTGTAACTCCCTTGCCTCAGACTTCGATTTCTGCTCTGGTCTGTCATGCAGAAATCAATACAAAATTGAATGCCAGAAAAATAAGAATGTGTACTAGGAAAAAAATCCAGGTGCTGCACACTTGTTTGTGATTTACCACGGGCTACAAAAGAGATTCAGTAAAAACAGTGAAGCCACCCGGTGCAGTAACACATCCTGTATTCCCATTCCTGATGCTGCCCCTTTGACAAGCTGAGTGTTTGGGGCTTTGCAGTTGTACTCATTGGCCGATTCCTGTTTGTGAGCCTGCAGCGGGACCACAGCTTGCTGCTGGAAGATGCCATTTCTTTTTAGCCAGCGTGAAGCCATGCACTGTTGGGACGGTGAGTGAGGCTATAGCTGTTAGTTTGAAAGGGCTGAGCAGTGGCTGTCACGTTCCACTCCAGTGTGGCTGCTTTTTGAAGAAAATGTTTCCAGGGTGAGAGTGAGCTGTTTGCATTGAAATTTAGGTAGCAAAATCCTTGACAAGTCTGACATTTAAAGGTGCCACAGAGTGTCAGATGGAGACCTGACTTTCCTGATTGTAGGTATGTCAGTAATGAAATTAAGATAGTTGAAATAACTGCAGCTGTTCCCTGGGCACTTCCATCATACTTTCTGTCTACAGGATGAGAAAACAAAATTATATGTGCCAAGCAGAAATGAGAGGAGGCTGAAGTGTGAGTCATTGTCTCCTCAAGGCAAATGAGCTGGTCTTTCTTGGCCTTGATTGCAAGGGAAAAGAAACGCTCCTTGCTTTCAAGATGGCAACAGTACTACGTGGCTGCCTGAGTGCTGGTGTCTAACAGAGCCCAGAGTTGTCAAGACAACTTGGACTAAATCCCTTTTTTATTTGTTAATCTGAAAGTGAGCAGCAAGGGAAGGGAAATTTGTGTCTACACCTGAGAGCTGTGCATTAAAGGAAAACGTCACTTTTCTGGGTCAAAACAATGTGTCTTTGGTATCATTTGTTCTGAGCAAACAGGGTCATGTGAAATTTTTCTCAGGGGCTTTCTCAGTCTTCTGTCCCTAGGAATTCTACGACTAATGTGCTATATGTATTTTGTTGACCTGGAAGTAAGGGGAAAGAATCTGCTAACTTAGCAGGTGTAGGATTAGTTGCAAAACTGAGGGGAGCATCTTCATCTTCATATCCACAAAGCTAAAATGCCAGTCCTGCATGAGTGCCTGGGCTCGTGGTGAATGAGTGCTCCAGCTTTCACAGCATGTCTGTCAGCTACTGCATGTAATTGGAATAAACATTTTAAAAAAAAGTTAGAAATGTTGAATATGAAAACAGTGATGGCTACCAAAAGGTCTTGTTGAAATGAATTGTACTTATCATGCAGGTAAATATTTCCCTGATATTGAACTGAATACCATCTAGCATAAGGCTAAAAAAAGAGTATGATGATCCATAGGAGCAGACGCTTGGGCAAAAATGTTTCTGACCAAAACACACATTTTCTTGGTGCCAAAGTAACTGTTTTACTTAATGTGTAGCTTTCCTAAAGGCATAATGAAAACTCTCTTGGATACTGTGTGCACAGCATCAGACTGCTACTGCAGTGCTGCCTCTGCTGGGCAGCCATGTACTCCCATGGGGATCAGTGGTTTGTCTTGTCTTTTCTGAAAAACTTTGTCCAAGTTTTATTAGTTTATTAATAAGATTTCCCTCTGTTAAAAAAATCAGTAAGCACAGGGTTAGAGAAATCGTTAAAGAAATATGCCCATATTAGGCAGCCTCAGATGAGAAGAGGAAAATTTGTTTTGCCCCTCCCCTCCCTCTGTTTCTATAAACAAATTTCTCTTTAACTTGCTCATAATTCTTCTATGTGATGCAAATTCAGAGTTCTTTCTTGGCATTAGGGTCAGGTCCTCCTTGTCTGAGCCAAAATCAGCTGGGCCCCAGAGCCAGTCTACAAGCTGTCAGCTTGTTTGGAACATAGATTAATCTCCCTTCCAAGTACAGATAAATCCATCATAATACTTAGCGCTGTTTCACCTTCCTGAAAAGACACAGATGAGAGGGGCAACTGAGCCTACTCATTCTACAGCAGTTCCTGAAAACCTGTGCAGATTTAGTTTGCCTGTCAGGTGCAGACCTGGACAGCAGTGACACAAGTTTCCATGCCTGCAGGTAGGGGGCATCGGCAGGGATAGTTTTACACCTTGTTAAAACAGCAGTAAAGTTATCTGCTGCCTTCTGTTTGGTGCTGTTTGTGCCTGTTTCTCTGAAGGAGACCCTCAACTAAGGATGGCTACAGCGAAATACAGATGGCAGAGGGTTCCTTGTCAGCACAGGACACCCTTGCAGGTCGTGGTAGGGGGAAGCACGTGCTTTACAGTCTGCTTTGGTCTTTTGCAAGCAGTACTAAACAAGCACGGAAAGGAGAGGAAAGTAGGAGCAAGGGGAACAAAAGGCAATCACTACCTTGCAAACAAACCTGTGCCTCTTTTATTCAAATAGTTACAACCATAGGTCTGGTGAAAAAAAAAACAAAAACAATACTGCACATCTTTAGTGTCTGTGTGAGGAAAATGATAGCAGGGGGGTTGCATTACAACTATATACACTGCTCATCATACAAGGCCCACCACAGTGAGATGGGACAGAGACAGCACCTGAGAGTTGAACACTTCACACATGACAAAGTATTTTCTGTACACCTTGTGATGTGCACTCTGGGCTTCCCTCCATCTCCATGGGAATCACAGAGTGTGAATCTGGAGTGCTGGACCAGTTCCCAGGCACAAATAGTGGCCAGCAACTGTAGAGTTCTTGGTCATTTACAGATGTGGTTTTCCCTCTATGCAAGGGCTGAATAAGAGTGGGTATCAAGCAACCCTCAAGTATGGTGGTGACATGCACTCAGCAACTTGCAACGGGGTACTTCAGAAGGACTACCACTTGATCACTAAGATTCATGTATTTCTTCTGTCTTTTATCCACTCACTGTTAGCTGAGAAAAAAGGCTGTCTCCCTAAGAGAATGATGTATCCTGAGCTTTTCCATCTTTAAGACTTCTTCCATCATTTTCTTAAATTCTATCTAACAACTGTGGTGCTCTCTGCTTACTTTAGAGCTCAGCTTGCAGCACCACAGTCCTCTTAAGTCCCATCATGGCAAAAGTTACTCTAAGCATTGTCCTGAGTAGCATCACAACAGTGGTGTAAGAGCCCTCTGGCTGCATGTTTTAAGTAGTGCCATAAAGCAGCCTTCTGTCACATGCTTGCCTGGCACTTCTCCATAATTAACTCTGCTAGACTACACTGGGCAGAGCATTTTGATGAGTAGGAATGCATTTCTCTGACGCAGCTTTAGCAGTGCTATTAAGGCCTGAACAATCTCAGTTTATCAGACTGTCTGAGAGATTCCTAGCCCGATGGGACTTTTGCTGCAGCACCCTCTTCATGACTTTCCTGACTACTTCCACAACACCATGACTTCATGCTAAAACCAACTCCTGCTTGGGCCCCTTCCAGCATAACTAGGAATTTGATTATGATCTCCATCCACACTGCCTCTGGAAAGGTCATTCTGAACTTCCATCCTCAGTTACAGAAAAAATGTCACCTCTTAGTAGGATGGGAAGGCTCAGGTGTTCCCAGAGGATGCCAAAGAAGTGAAACAGCCATAGCTCTGTTGAAGCGACAGAGCTACAGTCCTTCAGAGTAATGGTGGATCTGCCAAATCATGAGAATCAACGGACAATTAACTGGAAAAAATAAAATAAAATTAAAGGATCTTGGATGTTGTCTGTCAGTGAAAGCTGGGCTTTGGGCTCTATTTGGTCTATCTGGAGTCCAGCATCGAGTAGTAATGCACACAGTTCTACCCCTAAGGGACAAAGGGAAGATAAACAGAGAGAAGTCGTGATTTCTGGAATGGAGGTGAAGAATCTCCTTTGGGATGAATGGTGATGATGATCAGGGAACAGCGGAGCTATTTATGCAAGCTTAAAATTTAACTAATTCTGCTGGAAAAGTTGCTGCCCATGTTCTGCAGTCATCTGTACACATCAGTGACTGAAGAAAATAAAGCAGTTTCTCCTTTTCTGCTTCAAA